TTAGAAACCCTGTGGGGCAGTTCTGTTCTCTCTACAGGGATGCTGTGAGTTGGAATCTACTCATTGGCAGTGGGCTTTTTTTTTTTTTTTGGTCCCTAGTTTGTGGGTGAATGCCTGTCCTTCCCCACCTTTCTTTCCAGCAATTTCCTCAATTACTATACCTGGACCACAGTCACAAGGTGGCAAGGAGCAGTTAGTCAGCTGTCTTGGAGGCTTTGGGTTAGGGCACTGCCATTAACCTCCCTGGAAGGGGTGCTCTAATCACTCCCCAGAGGCAATGAAGGCGTGGTGAGGCCCACGTGGAAACAAGGGCTGGCATGTTCTGAGCCCTTACTCAGCACAAGACGTAACAGCAGTACTCTCAAGTCGGACCGTCCCTCCCCTATCCTGCAGATGAGAAACAAGGTGTGAATGATGGAGCTGGGCCACAGCACTCCAGGCCATTTGCTCACTCACCACAAACCCACAAGGGGGAACTCTGGGCTGGGACCCAACCGTCTACATGTTTCCCGCCCACATGCCTGTGTCCAGAGGCCATTCAGTGATTGGGAAGCCATCGGGTCAGGAGACTAGGCACTTGTCTGTGGTATACCAGCATTTCCCTGTGTCTGCCTCCCTGTCTTTGGGACCCTTGAGAAGGCCACCATGAGGCCTCTTGCTTTTTCTTGCACACAGGTGTCCCAGCAGTCCACAAGTGGCCACGTTGATGGGGCTTTGCCCAGTGCAATGTCTGAGAGCTGCCAGGAGAAGGAGAGCAGGCCTTTGGCAGCCCCAGGAGAGCTGGGTGGAGCTGGGTAGTGGGCAAGACTGGTTCACCAAATTCAACTGTGAACACAGCTGGTAGTTTGCAAACACTTGGATGAAGATAAAATATGTTAAGTACTGAACACAATATCCCTTTCGATGGCCCGGAATCCCTCTGGGCAGCGACATAGGGTAGAGTTTTGTTTTTTCCCCATAAGCAGGCCTTTGGGGTAACCTGGTGGGGGTATGGGAAATCCCTTCCACTCACTGAGCCTGTGTTTCCTCCTGTGAAATGGGGCCAGCCGTGCTGTCCTGCAGGCTGACTGAGGAAATGCAGTGAGACTAAATGTGCAGAAGTGCCCACACTGAGCAAACGTCCTTAAGGATCCCTTCCGGCTTCCGTCAAAGTCCCTGAGAGCAGGGCCCACGGAGTTCCCCTGGGAAGGGTCAGAGAGTCCATATGTCCAGGTCGTGGACCACATGGTCTCTGTTGCCGTGATGATAGCCTGCTCCTGTAGTGGGAGAGCAGTCACAGCAAATACGGAAAGAAACAGTGTGGCTGTGTGCCAGGAAAATGCCACTGACCAAACAGGGCTGCCGCTTGCTGGCCTCTGGCTTAGAGCCCAAGAAAGAACACAGAAATATACATAAAACCCAAGCCAGCCCTCCTCCACAGGCCTGCTGGGTGTGACTGATGACGACAGGCATTGCCCCATTGCTCTGGCTCCTCTCGTGCCCAGCACAGACACTGAGACCCACCAGATGCTCTGTGAATATGGGTTGACCAAACAAGTAAATGAATGAGTGAGTGAGTGAAGAAGTGAGTGAGAGAATGTATGTACAAACAAGTGAATGAATGAACAAATGCATGAGTGAGTAAATGAATAAACAAATGCATGAATGAATGGATGAACAGATGAATGAATGGATGAATGAGTGAACGGATGAAGAAATGAAGGAATGGATGAATAAGTGAACCAGTGAACAGATGAATGAGAATGAATGAATGAAGGAGTGAAGGACTGGATTAGTGAACAGAGGGGTGAGTGGGAGCATGCCACAGGAAGCACGAACCGGAGTGAAAGCGCAGACCACGATCATCAACTAGGTGACACGGGACTGATTAAAGGCCTCTCTACGGAGGTACGCATTTCGCTCCACGTGAGAAAGGAAGTTTTCAAGGACGAAACCATGACGCAGAGTCTCTCACTCATTACTCAGATTTCCTCCTGATTCACAGGGAAGTGAACACAAACATGACCTTGTGCTGAACACAACACAGAGAACACATGTGGGAGACAGAACTGGTGTAACGCTTTCAGATGAAGAGGGAAGGAACACAACAGACGAAGCCTTCTCCCGCTTGGCAAGGCGGTGAAAGAACACCCTCGTTGGGGTCTGATAAGTTGGTTGTTTGCCTGGGAAAGCACGCTGGCGGATCCTCGGGGAGCAGCTGAGGACCAGGCCAGAGTCACCTGGTGCCAACGTCGTGGCCCAGATTTCCTTGGTACCAAGTAGGATGCCAGAGCTGTCCCTACTCAGCAAAACACAGTCCAGCTGACCAGTTCTAAGAGCCACTCCCAAGCGATGGCAGCTGAAAGGGATGATAACGGGAGACAGTGTTGATGACAAGTCTGAGGCCAATCCATGAGTGACAGGAGGACACGGATCACCCCCCCCCCCACCACCACGGCAAACAAGGGGATGCACCCTGCAAACCCAGCTGCCCTGAAGAATTAGGAACACTGACCACAGGTGGGTTATCTGCAAGTGCTCTTGTTTGCGAGTAAATCCAACAGGAAAGAAGTATCAGCCAGGCGGATATTAATCTAACTGAATTAGAGCCCATTACAAAGGGACCCAAAGCCAGCACACATGACGGCTCACCTTCTCCACACCCGTGGCACCAGCACCTCAGAACGAGGCCCTCGGTGGTGCCTCAAAGACGCCGAGGCAGACAACTGTCACTGGCGCTGCTTTAGCAAAGGGGAATGTGGGACTGGGGCAAGGAGGTCCTTGGGCAGCAACAACAGTCTGCTCTGCTACTAACTGAAAGGTGCGCGGCTCAAACCCACCCAGTGGTGCCATGGCAGAAAGGTCTGGCAATCTGCTTCTTCTGTCAAGATGACAGCCAAGAGCACCCGCAGGGCCGTGCTGCTCTGCAATGCACAGGGTCGTCAGGAGTCAGCAGTGACTCAGACGCAATCGGTTTGGTTTTTCTTTTTTGAGGGGGGTTGTGGGTAGGGAGATCTAGGGGACATTCCTGTTTTCCTAGATGCTCAGATATGAAAATATAGATGTGATCCATTAAGTAAGCCATTACAAAAACAATCCACTGATCTGTGCTCCTTGCTGGAACCCCGTCTCTTTTTGTTCTAACATGAAGTTAAAGTGCTTGGAGGAGGCCAGGCTCACATTTCTGAAACTGCAATGAACCTTCGCAGCCCAGTGAGAAGCCCTCACACGGGGCAGACCTGGGGTCCACCTCAGTGAGGCTGTGGCACTGGACGCACCATCTGCCCCTTCAGCCTCAAAGATGAAGTCTTGTGCACACATGACTTATACAGAAATGAGTAATTCAATGCATCTACTGTAAATGGGTAGACATTTACAACCTCTCTTGCAACCTCTCACAGTAGAGAGAAAATGACCTTGAAGAATGATCTGTGAAAAATCTCCATTAAAAAAAAAAGCAATAGCATATAGGATTGACGTTGTTTGTTGTTGTTAGGTGCTGTTGGGTTGGTTGCAACTCATAGTGACCCCACGTACAATGGAATGAAACAGTGCCCAGTCCCGCACCAACCTCATAATCACTGCCATGCTGGAGCCCATTGTGGCAGCCACTGTGTCAATAAGCAGTTAAAAAAAAAAAAGCCCCCCTCGTCATAAGGAAGAAAACTGCAACACCTAACAGCCTCATGTCTTCAAGACACTGTGGGAGACCTGTTCCCTTATCATTTCTGCAAAACACAGGAGCAGCTACTCAGATACCAACAGGGAGATTTTACTCTCCAGGCGGGGCTGACGTGATCCTAAGGCTGGGAAGGTGATGAGTCTGTGAGCGGATGTCCCTGCCGCTGGGTTGAGTACAAGTGTGCCTTCTCCCCGGGACACTCGGCCAGCCCGTAAACAACAGAGAACAGGCCCAGGACCCTCAGGGTTAAGTGACACTCGCGGTGGCCCTGAGAGCCATGGAGGACATGCAGTTAATCTAGAGAATGTTTCTGGAACTGGTGACCCAGAGGCACTGGTTCCAAAGGCTTTTTGAAACTTTCTGCCAATCCTTGCCCTGGAAGGTGTGCGCAGAGGCCAAAGGGCAGTGAGCATACCAGATAGGTCAAATGAGCAACAGGGAGTCTCAAGAGGAGACAGCCTTGGAAAGAAGACAAAGGAGGAAAAACCCACTGCCATTGGGTCACCTCTGAGCCATGGTGGCCCCAAGGGTGTCAGAGAAGAACTGGGCTCCCCTGGATTTCGGTGGCTGACTTTTCTCAACCAGATCACCAGGCCTTTCTTCCAAGGTGCCTCTGGCTAGCCTAGAACTGGTGTCTTTGGGTCAGCAGCTGAGTGGGTTAGCTGATTCCACCACCAAGGGATGGAGATGGAGACCAGTGCAGAAAGGGGGTTGGTGCAGGCAGCTCACACGGCTGGTGGGAGCCAGCTGGCCCTTCGAAATCAAGACAGGAAGGGCTCTCAGGGTGGTGGCCCAGGTAAGTGGGGCCTCAGGGAACTGGGGTGTGCTCGGGCTTGCAGCCTACCCAGGGTTCCTCCCTGTGGGTTGTCCACACAGCGTTCCACCCAGGAGTAGTGAGCCCTCGGGTGATCCTGCTGGGAGAAGCCATTCAGATACGGCTGTTTCAGGGCCATAATGGCACATGGCATGACTGTGCCTCTCATAGAGCGATGCCAACTCCACTGAAAAAGGCAGGCCTCTTCACAGGGAAGCCAATTTTCCAAATCAAAGTCTTACATGCATTCCTTCTAAGTAGAAGACCCCTTTGGCGATGACCACCATTTGGGGTGCCAATCCCTTTTCCTAACCCGAGACCTGCACCTGAACTTGCATTCCCATGGAGTGGCGGTGACACAGAACCACAGACCTCAGACACCAGGGCTCTACTGGCTGTGATGGCTTTTTTCAAAATCAAGTCTCGGCCCACCACAGGGGTTTATCATGAGCTTGTGTCAGGAGAGGGGTTACTCCTTGGTGGAGGGACATGTCTGAAACCCCACGGTGCAGATCCTCTACTCACCCTCTGGTGTGGAGGAGGGGGCGGAGGCGTCGGCGAGCCCACCAAGTCCTGGGTGTCCATTAAGTTCCCATAATCTGCCATGCTGCCTTTGAGTGGCAGAGGGGGTGGGATATTGGCCATTTCCATCCCAGTCATTCCATTCAGCTCCAAACCTGGCAAAGCAAAGCAACATCCCAGCTGAACACGAGTGTCCGTGAGGTAGCCCACATCCCCTCTCTTAGGGGCAGAGGAGGCAGGAGCGCCCATCCAAGGAGCAGAGCCAAGCAGCATGGGGGGGGTGCAGTTAGAGAACACAACATTGGCCCTCTCCTAGCAGCCATATTCCAGAAAGACAACAGCAAGTCCCATGAGCAGGATCACTCCGCACCCCCACCCCATTGGCTCCCCTCGGGCCACTGTGCCTCAGTGGCATTTAACAGCTGTGTGTCACAATGACTGTGGTGGCGGCTGGACGGACTCTGCGTTCGGCCTCCTACAGTTAAGCACCTGGAGAACTGCACCAGGCAAACTGCTCTAAGGTGGTACCCAACCAGCCGCCTTGCAAGCCTCCCTCACCAAGAGCAGCCTGGGCTGAACAAAATGAGGTCATCATGGGGACTGGCCGCGGAAGCTGTTGCTTTAAATAAGCCAAGGGGAAGGGTGGCGCTTTCACACGGGGGAGTCATCATGACGCTGCAGTGTTTCAGCCCTTGCCGAGGCTCTCAGAAGTCACTTCTTTTTCTTTTCTATTAAAGAGTGAAAACTTGACATCTTTACTGATGAGTCTTTTCCAGTGATTTCCCCCAAAGACCTCTTGGAGCAAAAATCCCTCATTATGGAAATGCTGGCTGGGAAGGCGTCTGACTCCATGGTCATCTCATGACTGGCGCCTGCCCTGACGCATTTAGGAGACTGTTTGAGAGAGCATCTTCAGCAAAGATCATGTGATGGCAGCACAGAGACAGAAGACGCCCCAGCCAGAGACCATCTTTCTCTGGGAAGCTCCTGGTTCCTCCACTAAGTTTCAGCCGCTCTCGAAGCTGTGACTCTCCAGCGATCACGGCTGCTCCCCTTCCAGCAAACAGCCATTGCTCCTTGCCCTTCCCAGCCCCCTGTGCATGGGCACACAGTTCTGTGGCCGCCACCCCTTTCTCCAGCCACAGAGGGGCTTCTCCTCCATTCGGCCACCATCCTTCCTCTCCACCACCTTCTGCCAAGATTTCTCCTCTCCAGCCAGCCCTGGAGTTAGTGGCAGAAAGGCACTGCCACTTGCAGTGGGTGAATAGCACCCCCAGTTCAGAGCCACCTGCAAGTTCAGAATGTGGGCTTATTTGGAAACGGGGTCTCTGCAGATGCAGCCAGGTGAGGACCTCAGGAAAATCCTGGCTTTATGGTGACAGTGTCTATAAGAAGACATGGGAAGACGCAGAGAAGGCCACATGGGCTCAGACACAGACTGGCATGTCACATCTACAAGGAATGCCACGAATTGCTGACGACCGCCCCAGGCCAGGAGGGAGGCCTGGAACAGATCTTCAGAGCCTGCGGAAGGAGCCAAGCCTTCAGACCCCTGGGGCTTAGACTCCTGGCCTCCAGGACTAGGGGAGAACGCATTTCTTTCCGTGAAGTCCTCCAGTTTGTGGTGCTTTGTTAGGACAAATGAATGCACCACTAAAACTGGGCAAAACCAGAAAAATAAGCAATGACCAGTGGCCTGGAAGTACTTCTCCCTTCCATCCCTTGTCCATGAAAAGGGCCTATTCTGCATGCCCTTCGAGTCTTCTTCAACTGCAGGAGGCTTTTGAGCAAACCCCTCCTGCTGCCCAGGGTTTGGAAGTGATGGGCTGCAGACCGGCTATGGCCAGATTGCCTGAAATCCAGCTTCCGCAACCTGCTCTGAGCGCCTGCCATGAGGTCAGTGCTTATCCAAGCCCTCTCTGGCTACTGTGAGGACAGGAGGTCATTCTAACTTTACAGTCTTCCACCTAGGAGACAGGCATGGCGTGGGGCAGGAATTAAATACGGATACTGGCCTACTTACTGGACTGCAGGCTGAAGCTGAGCTTGGCCCTCGGTGTGACTGGAGGGGGCGTCTGCTGTAAGGCTGGTGGCGATGGAGAGGCTGAAAAGCGCCGTTCGCCTCCGATGATGTTGATGACCTGGCTCTTGGGTCTCTGTGGCCGCAGGGGACTGATCTATATGGGAGGAGCACAAAGAGCACAGTGGGTCCTGCAATGATCTCTTCCCACACTCTGGTCTATAGCATCACATGTTACCAGAACATGGATGTAGAACTGGCACCGATACTGCCCAAGGCATTCACATGCCAAGTGAGGGTGACGGGGACCCTCCAGAGGCCAAAGGCAGAGTCACAGAGTGGCTCACCTCTTGTAAGTCCCAGGTATGCTTAGCCTCCTGGTCTTTCCTGGCAGGCACATGAAAGGCAAGGAGCCTTGGTGGCACAGTGGTTGAGTGCATGGCTTTGAACCAAAAGGTCGCTGGTCTGAATTTACCCAGTGGTTTTGCAGAAGACAGACCTGATGATCTGCTCTTGTAAAGATCATAGCCTAAGAAACCCTGTGGGACAGTTCTACTCTGTCCCATGGGTCACCAAGAGTCAGAACTGACTTGATGGCACAGCACAGCAACAACTGAGAGTCTAGAGACTTGCAGACGACTTTCTCTATCCATGTCCTCTGTTCCCTCTCATGCTGCGTTACAGCTGGCACCCACTTAAGCCTGTGTTTCCTGTGTTTGTTACTTTAGTAAATTTATTTTTTTTTAATTTTAAGAGCCTGTTTTACATTCAACGTTATGTGTACATTTAGTTTCACTCCTCATTTACCATGTCCAACCCTAACCCAGTCTCCTCCCCTCCCTACGCTGTAACCCTCCCCCTGCACCCCTCATGTTTATGCACTCCTGTTTGTCCTGTATTTCCTCAGTTTGAATGTTGGTCCTCTGGTGTCCCGTGGTCTATTGCTCTAAGGGACGTATTACCATAGATGTACTGTGTACATCTTGTTAACTACTGGGCTGGGAGCCAGCCCCTGGGGTTGTGTTTTATTATGCAGAATGTATTCCAGGGTCATATATTGGGGGTCTCATCAGAGTCTGTCTGACCAGTAATTCTGGTCATTGTTGAGTTTTTGGATTTTGTTCCATGTTTTCCCTCCTACTCTATCCAGGATCTCCAGATTTGATCCTTTCCTGAGTGGTTGGCCTTGGTAGCCGGGCATGATCTAGTTCTTCTGGTCTCCAGGGCCATCGTGTCCTAGGGCTGATTGCTTCCAAATGCCAAATTTCTTTCTATAGCTCTTACAACTTGGTCTCAGACCATCAGGCCTTGGGGAGCACAAGCAATTACAAAATATACTGAAGGAGGAGCAGTCAGGGAAGTTAGGAACCCAGTTGAAAGGAAGAGTCAAGAGTCTCCTCCCAAGAAGGGCCGGCAGGGAGGGGGTCCAGTGTGCAATGCTGTCACTTCCTCCCTGTGCCCAGTGTGCAGGCACGTGGGCCGAGGTGGGAAGAGAGTGGGCGTGGCATTATCTGCCCCCTGAAGGGTCCTCAAAGGCAGCTCCAGTGTGGAGGCCCAGGGTCTGAGGCTGATGAGGTCCTTGCTTGGTAAATGGGGCAGCTGAGGGGACACAGCCAACAGGACCATTTCCAGAACTCGAGGCCCCAGGTCTTGCCCTCCATGTGCAGGAATGGATGTGTTACCACTGGGATGAACACTAAGGGAGGTCCTGACTGTCAGAGGGCAAATGGATACATGGGCTTCAGCCAGAGATTCTGGAATGTTCGTTGTCTCCCCCATGCTCCCTTCCTGTAAGGGGCAAGGGCACCTTCTTTCACCAGTGGAAAGAGGCAGGCCTGGGGAGACACAGACTGCAGGGTGGCCAGGGAACTGTCTCTGATGCAAATCAAGTTGGAAAGCGGGACCCAGCCCCAAGGGTGACAGGAAACCTGTCCAGGAGCTTCAGGAGGCCAGGAGTAGGGAAGGGCAATGGTGACACAGGGCCACAGTGTGCCCAGGCTGGCAGCACCAACTGAACCAGGGGCTCTACCCTGCCCTGGGGATGCGAGGGCGGTGCTGACCAGGACCCAGGCTTCAAGTTACTGTTTTTCAGCACTTTCAGCAACACTACGGCAAAAAGGAGGTCCCAACAGCTACACAGAGCAAGGAACCAAAATCCAAACCGCACCCACTGCAGTTCAGTCAATGCACACTCACAGCACCCAGAACTGCCCCATAGGGTGTGCAAGGCTGTAATATTTACAGAAGCAGACTGCCTTATCTTTCACCCATGAAGCAGCTGGTGGATTCAAACCAGTGACTTTTCGCTTAGCAGCTGAGAACTTTAACCACAGTGTCCCTAGGGTCCCATGGTGGGGGACCTCAAACCAGACCAAACCAAATCCACTGCTGCAGAGGTTTTCCAAGGCTGTAAATCCTTACAGAAGCAGACTGCCACATTTTTCTCCCATGGAGCGTCTGATGGGTTCAAACCACCGACCTTTCAGTTGGCAGCTGAGTGCTTAACCAGTGTGCCACCAAGGCTCCCTGGGGGGAGGGGCAGGGCAGCTGACTGACCGTTTCTGACAGAATCACGGCCTCAGCCTGCTGCAGGGTGCTGTCGGCCGGCCTGAACTCCTTCTCCACCGCCTCCTGATGTTTGCTGTGTCTCTTTTCCTTCTTCTTCTCCTTCTTCTCCTTCTCCACATCATCCTTGTCCAGCTTGTCCTGGGACCGGGAGTGCATTTTCTTTGGCAGGAGAGGCTCCAGAACAAACCTAAAAGAAAGGTTTCTTTCAACCAAGGGCGTCTCAATGCTGAGTGAACGCGTTGTACGACACAGTTACAAAGCTCAGGCAGCTGAGCTTTCCAACAGAAGGAATGACTGACAAAAGGAGGCAGAGGGAGGCTCAAGGCACACATTAACCAACACCAATCGACGTAGGCACGCTATATATACAGAGTGGGTTTGGGCCCCGATGCAAACAAACGGGGTTACCGTGACTGAACATTTTGATCAAAGATTCTGGAGTAGCATCCTGATCCAAAGGAGGAAAATCCAGCACAGAATTGCAAATTCTCACGGACTCGAGAATCTCTGCAGCCATGGAGACTTGATAAACCCCTGAAACTACCGCCCTGACATGATCTTAAAACTTTAAACCAAAAATATCCCCTGAAGTCTTCTTAAAACCAAACTACAGTTCAGCTTAAGCAGGAAAGGAAGTCGGCCTTGAGCACCACGCTCTGTTCAGATCTAGTCACACGGAATCAAATCAGCAAAGCAACTCGAAAGACTAGATGAGACCCTGAGGGAGCAGTGAGTTTACGTTCACAGGGAGGGGCACCTCAGAAAAGGAACTGAGAATGGCTGCGCAGCTCAAAGAATGCAGTCCATGTCACTGAACTGGACATGTGGAGACCACTGGATGGGTACATGTTCTGCAAAGCAAGTTGGAATTCAAGTTGTAATTGCAAATCAAGCTGTAGTCTCAACAGCAGCCATAGTGAAGTGAAATAGGGAAAAATTGAGCATTATGGGACAGAGTGAAGTCTGATGGAACATTTGATGATGTTAAGGGACTGTTGATTTATGGGAGAAGATGGTATTTTTAGTGCCGTATCTTAAGCAAATAACACGTGCACTCTGCAGTTCTAAGTGTGCACCCCTCATTGCATGTTAGTTTCCTGTAAGCACTATGCATCCTATATGCATGCATGTGGTACTTACAGAGGCGCGTCATATGTGAAAATGCAGTATTTCAAAAGGGGAGTCCGCCTTTTACAGATTTATACAGAAATATTTACAAATACAATGGTAGGAAAAGGAGGCAGATACCAATGTAAATTTCGGGTAACCTGGTCCCGACCAAGTTACCTTAAGATGACAGATGCATCAATTCAAAGTTTCGGGTCACTCAGTGAGAAGCACACAGGTTCCACACTGCAGGTTCCTGGGGATAACCTCAGGCTTTATGCTGAGACCTGAGCTAGCGACAGAGGACCTGGGCTCCAGTTCTGCCACCTACTGGTGAGCCTTGGTATTTTCTTCACCACTGGGAGCTTCACGTCCCCATTTACAAAATGAAACAAGGACATCTCCCTTTTGCCAAGTGACACCACACAGTTGGTGTGAAAACATGTTAATGAGAGCCTACAGAATAGCAGTGCATAAAGCACTTGACTGCTAACCAGAAGGCTGGCGGTTCAAACCCACCAGCCACTCCTCGGAAGGAAGATGGGGCAATCTACTTCCGTAGTGATACTGCCTCAGAAACCCAAGGAGGGGTCACTATGAGTTGGGTCTGATTCGACGACACATAACAACAACAACAACAACAGAATAGATGGATCTTGGGGTAGTTTTAAGTCATGTTTCAAAAGCTTAGTGGGCACATGTACAAGCACACACATGTACACAAAATGACAACTTGCAATTTTAATACATAATTGGTGTGTCCATCCTGCTGCTTCTCCTAATAAGTCCTATCTGGAGGGGAAGACATGGGTTGAATTCTAAGTCTGGAATCTCATCCCCTGCAGCAGGAAAGGGGCCAATGTGGATAAAGGTATGAAACCTCATAGCACAATTCACATGTGAGGCATTATCATTACTGTTGCTGTTGTTAGGTGCAGCCAAGTCAGTTCCAACCCACTGAGACCCTATGTACAGCACAACGAAACACTGCCTGCTCCGGTACCATCTTTACAATCATTGCCATGCACCCACGTGGCAATCCATCTTGTTGAGGGTCTTCCTTCTTTCACTGACCCTCTGCTTTACCAAGCGTGATGTCCTTCTCCAGGAATTCGTCCCTTCTGACCACATGCCCAAGGTATGCGAGATGAAGTCTGGCCATCCTTGGCTCTAAGGAGCTTTCTGGATGCACTTCTTCCAAGATGGTCCTAGCAGTCCATGGTATGTTCAATATTCCTCACCAACACCACAATTCAAATGCATCAATTCTTCTGGAGTCTTCCTTATTCATCGCTGAGGTCTTACATGTATATGAAGCTATTGAAAATGCCATGGCTTGGGTCAGATGCACCTTAATCTTCAAAGTGATGTCTTTGATTCCCCTCCCTGTGCCCGTCTTACTTATGAGCTCCTGTCCAGCTTTCCCTCTCCATGAATGCTGCCCCTACGGTGCCCCATGGCTGACTGCTCTAAGGGGTGCATCTCCCTAGAGTAGGTGGGTGCATCGCCTTGGGCTAGGTGTTCTGCATGTAGGTCTTTCTACTGTTGGGCTGAGAGCCAGTCCATGGGAATGAGTCCAATTCTAGGCCTGAAGGGTAACCCAGGGCCATAGTTTTGGGGGTTCCACCAGACTCTATACAACCAGTACTTCTGGTCATTTTTGTGCTTTTGGATTTTGTTCCACATTCTTCCTCCCACTGTATCCAGGATCTCCAGGTGTGATCCCTTTCCAAATGATTGGCATTGGTAGCCGGGCACGATCTAGTTCTTCTGGTCTCAGGGTCCATCATATCCTTGGACCAGTGGTTTCCAGATGCCTTCGATCTTCTTCACTCTCCTTTGCTTCAGATGATAGGAGACAAATAGTTGCATCTTAGATGGCTGCTCAAACACTTTGAAGACCCCAGTCACTACTCACCAAAGTACACTGTTGAACAAGACTTTTATGTACAATTGAGCTTGGCATCCCGAGACTATGGTCCTGAGTCAGCAGGCCCAGTGATTCTCTCAAGGTGTATATTGTCTCTGAGAGGTTACTCCAACTCTGTCTTCTGCTATTTCATGCCCCAATTACCATCTCCAACCATAACAAACTCTCGTCCCCTCCCATCACGGGTAGTCACAAGGATGGGAGGGGAGGAGAATTTGTTATGATCGGGATAGCAATAGGGGTGTGAAATCAAATGTACATGAATTTTTGAGTGTAAAACAAATATTGCTCTGCAAATTCACACCCATAGCACAATACAACTAAAAAGAAAAAAGTTTTATGATCCAGCAGTCCCACTGTAATAAAAATGAAGTGATGTCTTTGCTTTTAAACACTTTAAAGAGGTCTCTGCAGCAGATTTGCCCAAAATGCAGTACATCATTTGATTTCCTAACTGCTGCTTCCATGGGTGTTGATTGTGGATCCAAGTAAAAGGAAATCCCCGACAACTTCAATCTTTCCCCATTTTCCAGGATGCTGCTTACTGGTCCAGTTGTGAGGATTTTCATTTTCTTTATGTTGAGGTGTAATTCACACTGCAGACTATAGTCTTTAATCCTCACCGTAAGTGCTTCAAGTCATCTTCACTTCCAGCAAGTAAAGTTGTGTCATCTGCATATTACAGGTTATTAATGAGTCTTTCTCTAATCCTGATGCCATATTCTTCTTCAGATAGTCCAGCTTCTTGGATTACTTGATTAGCATACAGATAGAGTAAGTATGGATACAACCTTGACATGCATCTTTCCTAATTTTAAACCACACAGTATCCCCTTGTTCTATTAAAATGATTGCTTCTTGGTCTCTGGACAGGTTCCACATGAGCACAAGTAAGTGTTCTGGGATTCTAATTCTTTGCAACGTTATCTGTAATTTGTTATGATCCACACAGTTGAATGCCTTTGCACAGTCAATAAAACACAAGTAAGCATCTTTGTGGTCTTCTCTGCTTTCCACCAAGATCATTTGACATCAGTAATGATATTCCTAAATGTTCAGTGTTTCCTTGTCCCCATATCAATCCCGAATGTGATCAAGCTTCTAGATCTGACCACCGAAAATACGGAGGACAGAGACACCTGTCAGACACCACTGCCGGGAATGCCGTCAGCAACATCCACGCTGTGGCAAATACTTCAGGTCAGGAAGGTAGTTTTCAACCAATTACAAGAAGGAAAGAGAAGGAGAAAGGAAGGCTATGGAATAAAAGAGATGTGAAGAGATGTATCAGCCGGTTGCCAGGTGAGGATCTGATTTGTATCCTGTTTCAAACAAAATGTAAAAATACATGATTTATGACATAATTGGAAATGAATACTATTTCCTAACAAAACAGAATCACTGCAAATTTTTTATGTGTGAATGGTAGTATGTTAGGTGTGTTTTTTTTAAAAAAAGAAATGCATGCTAGAATATTTACAATGAAACGCTAGTGTTTGACTTTGCTTCAAAGCAATATGGGGGAGGAGGGGGTGGATACAGATGGAAACAAGGTCAGCCAGGAGTCGATCAGTGATGAAGCTGGCTAAGGAGGGCACGGGCCTCACTACACTCTTCTGTCCACTTTTGTGTATGTCTGACATGTTTCTATAATAAAAAGCTTTACAATCCCAAATGACTGACAAGATACACCAGCAATGACTTTGATTATTAAGACATTTTAGGAGACCTGAAGGAGCTCTGGTGGTACAGTGCTTAAAGCATTCAGCTACTAAGCTAAAAAGGAACCTGCCAGCCACTCCACAGGAGAAAGATGAGGCAGTTGGCTTCCATAAAGATTGACAGCCTTGGAAACCCCATGGGGCAGCTCGACTCTGTCCTCTAGGGGTGCTGTGAGTCATAATTGACTTGACAGCAGTGGGTCTGGATTTTTTTTGGGGGGGAGGGAGTAAACCTAGGCTTTTCCAACAGGATATATGTGAACCAATAAATCAACGTACATTGGGCATTAGATATTATATCTGTTATAAACAACAATCAAAAAGGTCACAATTTTATCCGAGCTTTTGCAGAATTTGAGACAATTAAGGTAGGCACAAAAGATTCCATGGGCACCTTTCAGTTCAAGAAGAAGACATGTGCTGTGGAATCCAGACAGGAATATGAAGTCCAAGGGAAGCCGGGTGGAGGGCTAAAGTGTTCATGTTACGAGCAGCAATCATCGAAGCATGAACTCTGTTCTGCATGTCACCTGTGCTACCAGAGACCAAAGCTGCACTTTCCACACATTAGTTACGTGGCCAAGTGTGGGAACTCTAAGAATGAATGAAAATCAGGACTCCAATAAGGATGCATCCTAGTAAGGGATACATCAATGCTCCCTGGAGGAGGTGACCCATGCCTCCCCCACATGCTTCCCAGGCCTCCCAGAGAGCTGAGCAGTGGCACTCAACCGTGCTGAATCCCACGCATCCACATTTGCAACACACTGTTCCGCTAATAGTTCTATATCAACTTCCACCTGTTCCGATTCTTTAGTGCTGCTCTAACAAGAATACCACAAATGGATGGGTTTAACAAATAGAGATTTATTCTCTTATAGTTTGGGAGGCTAGGAGTCCAAGTTCAAAGTACCAGCTTTAAGAGCTGGGTGAAAAGCCCTTGACCTTGGGGTTCAGCTCTGCCTCTTGTTCCCAGCCCACTGAAGCTGGAGGCTTCTTTTAACTCAGACAGCTGCTGGCTGCTGAGGCTGACAAATCCAAGGAAAACAAGTAAAATGGTACAGTTCTCAAATTATCAAGTAACATGACAGGCCACTAGTTCAAGTCCAGAAATAGTCCCAAGATCGGCAGACAACATAGCAGGCCACTGAGATGAAGACTCGACCAAATGCAGGATCCAGGTGTGCCAAAAAGCTGCAGACCATTCCCAAAGCATCTCCTTATACACTGGAAGCAGACCACGTCCCTAAGGCAGCTACTGAGCTGCTGCAGTAGATTCCACCACGGAGCTGATTGCCAGTCTCACCACGGGGAGTCACTCCATCCAGCCGCCCAGCCACTCAACCAGGCCCAGCCATGGGACACATAACCTTAACTACAACACCATCTAACTCCTATGTTCTTGGAAATAGAAAAACTTGATCATAAGTAGCCTGGGGACTTTCTGGTAGCATAGTGCCTAAGGCACTTGACTGCTAACCAGAAGGCTGGTGGTTCAAACCCACCAGCCACTCCTCGGAAGGAAGGTTGGGCAATCTACTTCTGTAGTGATACCGTCTTGGAAACCCAAGGAGGGGTTGCTATGAGTTGGGGCCGACTTGACGGCACATAACAACAACAACAACAACAACACAACACCATCTAACCCCTATGTTCTTGAAAACAGAAAAGCTTGATCATAAGTAGCCTGGGGACTTTCTTATGGAGAAGCTGAATGAAATTTCTTCAGTAATCTCACTCGAAATGACAAGAACATGATTTCCCAAAAAACAAACCAAACCCATGGCTCCCGAGTCAATTCCAATCTATAGCAACCCCAAGGCACTTGACTACTTACCAGAAGGTTGATGGTTCAAACTCACCAGCCACTTCTTGGAAGGAAGGTTGGGCAATCTACTTCCATAGTGATACTGCCTTGGAAACCCAAGGAGGGGTTGTTATGAGTCACGTCTGATTCGATGGCACATAACGACAACATAGAACAGAGGAGAATGCTGCAATAGGGTTTCCTAGGCTGTCATCTTTATGGAAGCAAAGCTCAAAGGAAACCCACGGCCATTGAGTCAATTCTGACTCACAGTGCCCTGAGGGGACAGAGTAGAACTGCCCCACAAGGCTTCCAAGGCTGTGATTTTTACAGAAGCAGACTGCCTCTTCTTTCTCCTGCAGAGTGGCTGATGGGTTTGAACCACCAACCTTTTGGTTAGCAGTTGAACATGATTTAAACACCTCTAACCTGAGAATTTCCATGTGGACTTGGCCTTTGAAGTAGCAGAGGCTGATAAAAATTACTGGAAAGGAAGGTGGGCACAGATTGCACGCCCCAGTGGGGTCACCAAGCATCAGCAACAAAGAGCACTCGGAGCGGCCTCCAGGGTTCTCTAAGTTCATGGCCAGTGCTGCGGGGGCCAGGAGCGTGAGGTGGGATAAGGGGACAGATTGGAAGTCAAACTCTGCAGCAAAATAATTAGAAGCCTTCTTGGATGTTGAAATTGCAGGTGGTGATTTTTTGTCTTTTTGAGGAAAAAGAAAAAGTCATTTTGCATGCTTGCCATTCAAAACCAAAAGATACTAACAGTACGATTTTCTTTACAAGGCCCTGCATGCGTGTGGGAGCCACCGTGAGTGCTGGTGAATGTGACCTCAGCAGACCATCAGGTGCTTGTCCTTCTCTTGGTTGCTCTGGGCTTCAGGTGCTTGAAAGCAAAAATGGGTCTCCAAGGTGGCCCTGAAGAGAGGAGGTGGCCCTGCCAGGCCCCCTGTAAGCTGGACTGCAGGTCGAAGTTAGCTGGAAAGGGATGAGACTGTGATGGACCCTGGAGGCCACGTCATGTTCCCAGCAAGGCGGCCCTCTGCCCGGTATGGCCCCACGGAAGTGAGTGGGACATGGGAAACACGAAGCGCAAAGCCAGCAAAAAAGAAGCCATGGACAATTCCACCAGGATGGGCCACATCTGAGCACTTCATGGGCCCGGGCTGGCCAGGATGAGAAAAATGGAAAAACTCAAGTGTTGGCGAGGATGTGAAGTTTGAACCCTCATCCATTACTGGTGGGACTGCAGCCACTATGGGAAACAGTTTGGCAGTTCCTCAAAAGTCAAACACAGAATTACCATGTTGTCGGGTGCCACTGAGTTGGTTCCAACTCCAAGCAATGCTATAGGACAAAGTGCACCTGCCCCATAGGGTTTTCTAGGCTGTAAATCTTTATGGGAACATATTGCCAGGTCTTTTCCCTGCAGAGCGGCTGGTGGGTTTGAACTGCTGACCTTTCAGCTAACAGTCAAGCGCTTAACCAGTGCACCATCAGGACTCTAGAATTACCATGTGACCCAGAAATTCCAATCCTGGGTATAGACCCAAAAGGACTTGAAAGCAAAGGCTCAAACAGACACTTCTTCACCAGTGTCTCCTGCAGCACTACTGACAAGAGCCCAAAGGTGGAAGTGACCTAAGTGTCCATCAGCAGAGGGACAAACACAGTGTGGTCCATCCATGCAATGGCCTATCAGTCAGCCACAAAGAGAAATGAAGGCCTGATCCACACGCCACATGGACGGACTGTGGAAACACTGTGCTGAGTGCACTTAGTCAGTCACAGAGAACAAACAGTGTGATCCACTTACAGGGAATATCTAGGCAAACACGGAAACCAAAGTTCAATTAATGGTGAGAGACCACAGGCTGGGGGTGGTTACAGCGTAAGAGGCATGGAGTGCGTCCCGAGGGGTGGGACATGGAGTGTGCACAGGGATGGAGTGTGTGCAGGGGGTGGGGACAGAATGTGTGTGCGGGGAGGGCACTGAGTGTGTGCAGGGTGGGGTACTGAGTGTTTGCTTGGAGGGGCAAGGAGTGTGTGCTTGTGGGGGATGAAAGACTTTTGGCAACAGAGTAGTAGCTGCCCAGCCTGGTGAGTGTGATTAACTCACTGATCTGTGCACTTAAGAATGGTTAATATGTAAATTTTGAGCCATTCATATATTTATATATAATAATAATAAGTAACAGTATATATGTTTTTTTTTTAAATGACAGAGCCTTACCCAAAGTGAGAATTTTTTTTCTCAGAAAGATCTCGTAACTAATATCTGGCATCAGAATCATAAAGTCTTGGAGGGGGTCTCAGTTTCACAGATAATTTTGATTAAAAAAGTCCTCTCAGCTGTGATATAACAAATGCAGGGCCCTGGGTGACTCCTGCCAGGGTCCTCCAAGCCCCTCCCCTACCATGCCTTCTGCTGCTGAGCCCTACTTACCCATCGGAGCCTGGCCTTGAAGGGGTGCTGTCGGACGACAGGGAGGAGACAGAGGCCACCGACAGGGGCCGGGAAGATGAAGGCATCGTGAAGGAGCGGACCATGGATCGGGGACGGCTGCCTCTTCTGTTGTCCAGAGTTGAGGGCTGAGAGACAGAGAGGGGGAGAGAGAGAGAGACAGAGAGAGATGAGAGACACAGAGACAGAGAGGGAGTGACATAGAGAGAGAGAGTTGCTGAATGCCTTGGCCAGAAGTCTTTGGCTGACACCCTCAGGCACCTACAACTAAGTGGTCCAGCAGCCTGCTGTCTCCATCACAGTTGTTCTGACTTTTATGAACAGGACATGTTCTTGTTCATAGTACAAGACAAACATGATGAGTCTTTCAGGTTCTTCTGAAACCTGACACAATACTGTAAATAGAATCATCTTCTTGGGTTTTTTTTAGTTTTAATGCTGCTTCCTCACCTAATCCAAAATCATGGTGGAGTGTGTTACCCAGAAAATGGGGTTCAGACAGCACCATGTAGGTAGGATACAAAGAATCGGGCACAGGGCCCAGCCAGACTCCGTCAGGGCCAAGCCAAGCTCTCTCAGGGAGGATGCCGACAGTCTTCTGTGTCTCCAGCCACATGGAGGAGAGCAGGACAAGCCATAAATGCACACAACAGTGGCATGGGGTCCAGGCTTGGAGGGGGTACCTGTGGACGGGGCTTATCGGAAACGGGCTGTTTCAGATGTGATCAAGTTAAGGCTGTCTCTTTGAGATCACCCTAAACCCAGTGACGGGTGTCTTACAAGAGAAAGGAGGAGGGGACCCGAGATGAAGAAGAAAGATGGTCATGAAAAGATGGAGGCAGAGATTGGATTCAAGGGCCCTGGAGCCACCAGGTGTTGGCAGCCCGAGGAAGGACTTCCGTAGAGTCTTCTGATGGCATGTGGCCTGGCAGACACTTAATTTCAGACTTCTGGCCACCAGAAAGGTGAGAAAAAGACTCCTGTTGTTTTAAGCCACGCAATGCGTAACATGGCCCTGGGAACCCAATACCATCCAATGCGTAACATGGCCTTAGGAACCCAATACTGTGCCTATCAAGACTCCCGTTGTTTTAAGTCACGCAATGCGTAGCATGGTCCTAGGAACCCAATACCACCCAATGCATAACATGGCCTTAAGAACCCAGTACTGTGTCTACCTGAATCTTGCCCGGCGAGTCTTCTCTCCGAGACTCTGGCCTCTGCCATCACTCTATTCCTGCCTCCATGCTTGGGCTTGAGCTGGCCCTTTTCCAGGCAATGCCCTCTCCTATCTCCTTCCCTGATCTCGTCTAACTTCTCCTCCCTCCAGTGGTTAAGGCTTTGCAAATAATTTTAAACCACTGTGGCCCAGCACTTCCTCCCCTCATTAGCTGTAGTCCTCAGACTTTGACGTTGGACCGGCACCAGCTCTACCTCTGCTTGGTCATCCTGAGTGCAGCTGTCCTGTGTGTGTCATGTGACTGGCCCATGAGGGGCTGGGATGCTGAGATTTCTCCATTCCTTAGCAGCACTGAGAGGTCCGCTGTGTCCACAGATGGGGGCGCACTGGCAATCAAGGAAGTGATCCCTGCTTATTCGTGCCACTATTTCCAGTTACCAACAGCAGGGTGCTGGCTCAATGTGGGACAGGATGGATTAAGGGGCCAAGTCCCTGAAATGCATGACTTGCAAGGAGGCATCACGTGGTCACATCTCCTCTGCTCTGTGTGCCTGCCATGTCAGAAAGCATCATCCGCATAACCCCCATTCCCCCTCAGTGCCCCTGCTCACCATGGTCCGGATGCCATACTGCTTTTCCACCTTTTCCTTCAGCTGTTTGAAGCAGGCTTCCATTCTCTCGTGAAATGGCCTCAGCGCTTCCGTGACCTTGTCTCCATGAATCCGGATCCCTTCCGCCAAAAATGGGATCTGCAGAGCAGGAGGGGACAGTCCTTACTGCTTGGTCTGGGGAGGGGCACATGGCCCTGAGGTCAAGCACCACTGGCACCACCCATCTGCTGTGTTTCCAACTCAAAAGCCGACAAACTCACGAGCAGACACGGTACCTAAGACCACATTTGACATTCCTGTCACCGGTGTTTTCAATGGGCCATGACCAGTTCAGGGCTCAGTAGGCCAGGGCACCCGCTTACTCTGTGGACTTGCACACTTTGCTCATGCCCGGAGTAGACCTATCTGTGTTTTCCACTTGAGCTTGGGATGACCTGCATTTTGAATTGGTTTAGATATAACTTGTTCTCTCAGCAAAGGGTCACAACAAACAGTAAGGACTGTTTTTAGCAAAGAACATTTGCCTTTATGGGCAATTGAGAGCCTTACAGCAAAATATAAAAATCTAATTATAGGTGATCTATCTATCATCCTGAAGGATATTCTTATTGAGAAGGGAAGACCAAATTTACTCTTCCTTATACCTAAAAATAATCCTCCTCTGTCGACACTGCTGTCACAAGATATCCATGCCAACACTTCCTTCTGAGTGGGGAGAGGCAGCTGGCCTTTCAGCACGTCGGGAGACGGGCATTCTCATCCCCCCACTCCCCAGCCCCACCCGAGGCGCTGTTGGTAGGATGTTACTGAGGGGGGGGCGAAGCCTCCCTGTCTCTCTCCAGCTCTGCTTCCCCTCACGAGGCTCAGACTGAGAGGAAGACGTTCCTCAAGGCAATCAAGCTGAGAGGCTTCCTCTTAATAATTTATAATTTAATCAAAATACTGATGAAAAACAAATTTTCCTAATATGACGGAACACCCATCTAAAGGAGCAGATTTATTAGTGAGAAGGGGACTAAGTACACAACTGAATTTCATGTGAACAAATTCAAGAAATCTTATCAAGACGAATCAACGCATCCCACGCACTTGGTTGCCATTTAGAAGGAGCAGCTGTTGCCTCTCGTGGGGCTCCAGGAAGGGCACGGCTAAGTGCGGTACTCCGCCATTGCCCCCTACACCGTGCCCTCCCAGCCCGCTCTCAGGTAGGCACCATTTAGTCCTGCCCGCCAGTGGGCCCTTTTGCCAAGAGGATGGGGTGCGGGCAGATTTCAAAACAGATGGAACATTTCAATATTCCAAATGAGTGGTGCGTGCAGAGGCCGCCCCCTGGGGCTGGACAGTGTATGCAGGGCCAGCCGAGGGGCAAGCTCCCTGGATTCTTGGCTTTCTGTGTTCTGCCTTGGGGGAAGGCAGTGTAGGCCGGAAGAGCTGCTGGTGGGCTGGCAAACCCATTGTGTCCACGGGGCGAGAAGGCAGGTGTGGGTGGGAAGGTGGCCCCCACGCTCCAGCTTGGCCTCCCTTTTTGTTTGTTTTTTACTTAAATCCTCATAAACCGTTTCCTTAATTCAAAAAATTACTATGATTTTTATGTAATCCACAGCCCTTGGGTCAATTCTGACTCACAGAGCCCCTAGAGGCCCGAGTGCAGCTGCCCCCTAGGGTCCCCGAGATTATAAACCTTTACAGAAGCAGGCTGCCTCTCCTCTCTCCCGCCCAGCAGCTGGTGGGTTGAATGCCAGCCTGTCGGTCACAGCCAAGTGCTTCAACCACTGTACCACCAGGGCTCCTTGAATTTCCATGTTACATATACATACATCCTATTACATTTTTTAAATTTGTACAATTATGGTAAAAAGATACGTAATGAAACATTTGCCAGCGTGGCCATGTTTACATGTATAATTTACAATCTCCCTGTCAGCCCTTCAGTACCTTTACTGGAAGCGTTAGGAGGGCGTTTTCTCCAACGCGCTGGGAGCTCCTAGCCAAGCCTGCCCTTTTCAGACAGCTGAGGACACTCCAACTAGCTGCGCCTTTGCAACCAAGAAGCTACTTGCAGGAGAAAGTTAAGACCATTTGGCTGAGGTCACATGAAGGGCATTGGCTGGTCTGACAAATGAAATTTACAAGGTGTGAAAATTCACAGCCTCTGCCCAAAAGGGCTCTGACATTTGGGGACAGAATCGCCCCTGTTCTATATCCACCTGGGCTTGAACTGCAGCTATGATTGGAAACAAAAGAAAAGAAAAAGACACTTTTTATGTAAAGGCTCCTGTTCATGAGGTGCTTACTGGGGGGGGGGGGGGGGGGGGGGGGGGGGGAGGGGGAGGCGGGGGAGAGAGGTCCTAGCAGCACAACCAGTTTGCTCTCTGCTGCTAACCAAAGGTTGGTGGTTTGAATTCACCCACCATGTGAAGGGAGGCCTGGCAATCTATTTACTTAAGGTTACAGCCATGGCGCATCCTGTGCAGTGCACTTTTACTCCAACACATGAGGGGGCGACAGGAGTCAGCACTGGCTCCGTGGCAGTGGGGATTTTAGCTGTCACTGTTGTTCGTCACAGTTAACAGAGCTCCTGGGGCTGAAACAGGGGCAACCTGGCTGCCCATCACAATCTCTCAGGCAACTTTTAGAGCTCGATTCCTGAGCTGAGTCTCAATTTGCTCCAGGGCGGATCCCAGGAACCGGCATTTCTGGAGGCGAGAGGATTTGGCCAAAGCCACACCCCTAACTGTTCACAGTGGGCGCGCCGGGCTGCCCTTCTTGTCAATGGTGCGGGCTGACTGCACTCCTGGCTGACCCACACCAATGATGCCCTGCCAGTGACACGGAACATTTGGACGCTTGGCTCAGGGCTGCAGAAGCACCACCCTGGTGACAGCATCGCATCTGTCATCAGCTGGGTAGGGTAAGCGGGCCCGGTCTTTCATCTCTGTGCACTTCAGAGGGAAGTATGCACTCATCTCTGCAATAGAAGGTGAATCTGGATGGCGTCATCTGTGGACACTTGGCGGGCGGTGCAATGGCAGCTGTGTTTGGGAGAGATGGAGCTATGCCCTTGAGGAAGTGGCTGCTGGGTGAAGGTGTGGGACAGCAAATGCCCAACTGGACGCCACCTACACTGGCATTGCCACCGCTAGCAGTTACTCATGACGTGGTGGCAGGTGGAAACCGGAAACCTAGAGGAAGCCCCGTGCAGCCTGGACCCCGACCCCAGGCTCCTCTCTGACCAGGAGGCAGATCTGCTACAGAGACAGCAAGCAAAGCCAAGCTGTGGCTACGGGGACTCGCTAACCAGCCTTCACCAACGATTTCAACAGTGGAGCTGTGCCAGCTGTCCGTGGAGATGGAAACTCTGCAAAAATGTCCTGGAAATTCCCAGAAGGACAGCCTCGCCTTCCCTGGGAGTTTCAAGAAAAACCTACCCAAACAAACGAACAACAGACAACAAAGCTTCCGACAACCCTACACTTCTTTTTAATGAGTGTGTTTCTCAGTGACTGCTCCTAAAAGATAGGTTTTTCAAAACATTCCAAACGGAAGTAGGTATTGTTTTGAATATGTGTGCTTCATCACTCTTTGATCTAATGAAGCAACCAGAAAAGGGATGCTTTCTTTTCAACTTTTCCTGTGGGCTGCTTTAAAATTCATCCTTTAATACAGTTATTAGGGGTGATGACATAGTGCTGACATAAACTCACTCTCTGGGAAACAAATTATTTTCCTCTGTAGGACTTGAAACTCTTAAAATCCAATTTGCTGCAAAAGCTTATAGGAAAAAAAAAAAAAAAATCAATAGCACTTTTGCAGACCAGACTGACCGGTTTTCGTACTGCAATGGTTTTATTGCCTTCAGAGGAGTTTAGAATTTTGTACCCTTTGGTTCTGACAACATCTAAATGGAATCATTCAGAACTTTAAACTCTCCTCCATTTTTCGCAATACAGGTAGATGGTCTATATGAGATGCATGTTCATGTAAAGACCACTGTTTGCCAACAAGGTGCCTTCCAAACAGTTCTGAGAGCTTATCACAAAAGAATTCCATGACCAACAGATTCTCAATACATATGGATTTGTGGCAAAGTCTGGTTGTTTCCCCTTTGGTATCATTTCCATTTTAAACAAACGTAGATGTTGTCAGCTGCTGTTGAGTAGGCCCTGCCCCATCATGGCCCCCCCCACAGTGGACTCGAAGGCTGTCCTACCCAGTCCTGTGCCCAACGCATGACGGAGTCTGAATGGGGCCACGTGATCCCTGGGCTCTCGTGCTGATCCTCAGAAGTGGGCCCCAGGCCCCTCTTCCTGGTCTGAGTCCGGCAGCTCAGCATCACAGCAACACTCAGGCCTCCACTGATGGCAGGGTGCTGGCTGGGCTTGAGGTGCCTTCCCCAGGAACTGAACCTGCTTCTCCCGCATGGGAGGTGAGAGTTCTACGGCTGTTCCATCAGTGCACCATGGAATGCAAGTACTTAGGATGAAAAAACTGCACCAGTCTGGGACATCTGAACCCAAACGTGTAGGACGTGGCTCAGCCTTGCTCTGTCCTAAGAGGAGGCATCTGCCAACAGGCTCACGACAGAGAAGCTGCTAAAATGAGGCTCCTAGGATGGCCAGGAAAAGAATGCCACAGAGACTGTGCCTCAGAAAGATAGCCATCTGTGAGCCTGGGCATGGATAAGCCAGATGGGGCCTCAGGTCCCACCCGGTCACCTGGCTTCCTGGTTAGACACAGCCTGTGGTATGACACCCAGGCATGCAAAGGCCCTTCCCTCTGCTGTCCCCTCAGCTCCTCCACTCCTCCTAGCACATGGGGCTGAGATCTCGGGACCCCTTGGAGTACCCTTCCCGCCTCACACAGGAGAAAATTGGGACCTTGAGCAGTGCCTCACCCAAAGCAGCTGAGTAAGTGTCACATACCTCCTGGGGACCAGCCCAGACAGCCAGCCTGGCTCTGCCCTCTCCGGTTCAAGAAAGCGCCAAGAAACATGGATACAGAACAAGACAGGATGAAACATACGCACCAAAGCTGCCCCCCACTGTAAGGCAATGCCTTACGCTCTAAGGAAATGCCCAAAGGCTGCAGAAGCGTGAGGGGAAAAGCAAACTCACACGCAGAGTTACAGCCAGACAGTGGCAGTAAGGGCCCACCACAGCGGCCCAGAAGCCAGGGAGAGCAGGAGGCATGGCACCTTTCACAGGTCTGCATGGACCTGTGTGAGTATCCCTCGGTTCTCTAAGACCACTCAGCTCTGAGCTTGGCCAGATGTCCTGTTCTAATACTACTAGAAAAAGGAAGGGTCCCCAGCAGCCGGTGACCAACTGTAGTGAGAGGACCTTGCTCATTGGTAAGACACAAGGCTCTGAGAGCTGGAATTCACACCTGCAGCCCAGGGGCTGAGTTGCTCACATAGAGGTGGGTGGGTGCTTTCTCAGGCCAGCCAAGTGTGCGTGCTCAGGGGCCCAGGCCTGGCTGGGCTGACCTTCCTTGGAGCCCTCATCCCACCAGGCTGCCCTCGGACATGTTACCTGCCAAGCAATCAGGTCCTTGAGCTTCTCTATCTTCTCATGGGCCTCTGGGTGCTCCTGAAGGTAGCGTTCTGTGAAGAAGGCCTGCGGGCACAGAGACACTGGGCTCACTCTTCACCCAATGCAGCGTTCTGCACACCTGCTGTGTGCCAGGCACCGGGACCGAGCCACCCAGAAACAGACCCTCGTCCCTGCCTCATGGAGCTCACTCCCCAGCATCCACGCTCCCCCAGATCCACGGCAAACCTCCCAGTGAGGTCACACTCAGTGAACGGCAGCTAGAAGGGGCGATCGCAGGGGCACACTGATCCTTGGAGACCAGCCAAGCCACAGTGGCCTGTACCACTCTGCCCAGCCTGGTGGCAGCTCACACAGCCCTCCTTGGCTGCCCACATGCTGTGGACTCCACCCTGTGTCTGCCCCAGGCCCAACCCACACCCAAAGACCACTCCGCCCTCTGCATCCAACGGCATTGAACTACCCCCTGCAGCACGCTCTCAGGAAGCCCTTCTGCTTTCGTTTGGACTTTGTCTGATCAGGGTCTAAATGTTTTGGGCTTTGAGAGCCACGGGGTTTCTGTGTCAGTTATTCCACCCTGCAATCCATAAATGAATGGGTGTGGCTATGTTCTAAGAGAAGTTTCTTTCCAAAACAGGAGGTGGACTATGGACTGCAGACCCCAGTCCACACACAGCCAAGTGCCTCCACCTCCCGCCGGCCCCTACTGAGCTCCTTCCTAGAGAAGACCCGGCCCTTCTCCTGGTCCATCCCAGCCTCCGTTTTCCCAAATACTCAGCCGTGTTTGTCTTTCTTTTATGAACGTAGGCCTTTTTAAAGGCACCGAGGACAGCTCCCTAGAGCCCTGCTAGCCCACCCTGGGGGTACGGAAGGCTCCAGCCTTCTAAGCATGCCCAGTGCAGCCCATCAGGCCTGGACCCCTATGCCTGCACAGGCCGCCTCCAGCACTGTGGTGCCCTGGCTGCAGGCTCAGTCCTTCTGGGACAAGCCCACAAGTGACTGGGATAACGTCCAGGCTCCAGGATGGCATGTGGAGCCCTCTGTCTGTCCCAAGGCTGGCGCACCTTTTCGTAGTTGGCGAAGCCGCCCATGACAGCAGGGTCCACGATGCCATTCAGGAGCATGGACAGCGGGTTGATGGGCAGGCTCGGGTCGTCCAGGTGCTGCTGCACCATGCTGTGGATCTTGTCGTTGGTCAGCTGCATAGTCTCGATGGCGTTCTCCAGGGGACTGATTTCCACCTGCAGAGGGGAGGGCAGCTCAGGTCACACTGGAAGCCTGTCTGAAGTGGGGAGGCCACCTCCTCCTCACCCAGTCTAACAGGACTGGGGTTGTGGTTGTTCGGAGCTGGAACAAGACCTGGCATTTCATGCTCAGGGTGTGCACCTACAGATGGGGCCTCACGTGCACATTACCAAGGCTTGGAGCCCTGCCGGGTATGTGTACATGTGTGTGCATGTGTGTACACAGGTGTATGTCAGTGTACATGTAAGTGTGTATGTGCATGTGTTCATATGTACATACATGCATGCATGCTCGTGCATTGTGTGTATATGCATGAAGGCATCTATGCATGCATGTGTACACATGTGTGCATGCATATATGTGTGTACACACATGTGTTTGTGTGTGTACATCTGTGTATGCAGGGGTGAATGTACGTGTGTGCACGTATGTATACATGTACATGCATGTGCATGTGCATACATGTACATATATGGTCATTTCAGGAAAACCCAGGGTCCTGAGTGGGCCTGGGTGGGCTTGGACACACCCTATCTGCTCCATAGCATGACCTTTTTCTCTGGTTGTTTTAAAAAGAAAACAAAAAACAAACTCACTGCTGTTGAATTGGACCTGACTCATAGCGACCCCTCCTTGGGTTTCTGAGGCAATACCATTACAGAACTAGATTGCCCAACCTTCCTTCCAAAGAGTGGCTGGTGGGTTTGAACCTCCAGCCTTCTGAGCAGCAGTCAAATGCATTAGGTACTATGCCAGCAGAGCTTGTTTTAAAGGCAGTTAGAATTTTAGGGAAGTTGGGGAATCTGTCACTGCCCCTGCTATAGAGAAGGCCTGGTCATGTGGCAATGTGTGGGAGGGGCAGAGGGGGCCTGCTGAGTCTCTGAGCCCAGGGCTCCTCATCCCCACTTCCTTGACTAGAACCCCAGGCCTCATCTGCAAACCTGTCCAGTCAGTACATCCTTCTGCCCAGGGCAGCAGGCCACCCCTTTGTCCCCTGGCATCCTCTCTAGCACCCCTGGCCCATCCTACACTTGTATCTCCCCTCTGGGGTCCTTGCAGGGCCCCAGCCTAGCCCTGCCCTCTGGCTCATCCCCTGGGGGCTGTGAGGGTGGCCGGGTCTGAAATAACCATCACATCTCCACCCAGGCGTCATGCTCACAGACCCAACCTGTCAGCAGGCTGGGCCTCAGGAACCACACTCCTGAGTGACCTCGATGGTGGGCGGCACCTGTCACCTTCCTGAAAGAGGCATGAGGGTCCTCCTGAGCTCAGGGACCTGGGAGCAGAGGCTTTGAGAAACAGGGAGGCAAGACATCCTGCTTGCTTCTTCCCGCTGCCTCTGGGGGGCAGTCTGAGAAGCTGGAGAGGGGGTGGTAGAGCAGAGATATTCAGAACAGACAGCTGTTCACTGCTGGCCCAGCTGACGGCTCTGGGTCAGGAAGCATCTGGCCAGAGGCTGCCGTGATCTGAGGAAGCACTAGCCATGAGGAGGGTGTCACATGCATACCAGGGCCACAGTGGGCACCACCAGAAGCCTCCTTGTCACACCCTGACAACAGGTGCCCGGGGAGTGCTCCTCTCTCCCTGTACCTTGCCTAGTCCGATTCTAGAACATTCCATTCCAGGCTCACAACCGTCCCTAATGGACAGCACAGGTGGTGCTCCCATGAGATGATGCTAACCCACCATCCATCCCCCTGGTCAAGAAGGCACGGTCTCCTATCTTTACCAAGTAAGTAAGGTTGAGTGCTGACCACAGCCCCCACAGAGGGGGTCCCAGACACACAGAGTGGCTTTGATAGCAGGATTTCCATCACGCCATTCTTGGTCTGTGAGGAACGGCAAGTGGGGCTGCACGGGAAGGATATGTTTGCGACTGGTCAGGACTAAGTCACCCCATGGTTCTCAGTGCCAGAAAATCCCCGATTACCAAGGCTCATGGGAGTGAGGACGAGTGCCGTCTGTGTGAAGGCCTGTCCTCTTGGTCTCTCACAGGCACATCACAGCTCCACATGGATGGGTGAGGGGTTACATTTTTACCACGTGGCTGTCTTCTGACAGACTTCTATGACATAGGCCCTATCTAGGTGCTACGGGAGTGTGGGAGGGGTGCTCCTGGAGCTAAGGTGGAGGTAAGACAGAGCACATGGGAGAAGTGCCCACGAGGTCCCCTGAACCTACTGGGGTCATCTTTAAGCCTTGAACCCAAACTGCCCCATGATGTCGTCTGTAAACAGTCGAGCCCAGCTCGTGAAGAACACTCATCTTGACTGGTGTACACTCTTAGAATTATTTTTATGAGATCAATCTCACAACAGTAACTAAATCACTGAGGAGACATTTAGAGGACACAGTGTGTAAGTTAATAGTGGTGAAACAATATGGGAGCAATACCCAGTATGGTGACACAATGCTAAGGACATGACTAATGTCATTAAATATGGAGGAGATGTTGAATGGCTGTATGTTTTATTATATGTACTTCTATAGGAGCTCCACCAGCCACTCCTTGGAAGGAAGGTTTGGCAACCTACTTCCATAGTGATACTGCCTCGGAAATCCAAGGAGGGATCACTATGAGTCGGGTCCGACTTGATGACACGTAACAACAACTATAGGAGCTCTGGTAGCATAGTGCCTAAGGCACTTGACTGCTAACCAGAAGGCTGGAGGTTGAAACCCACCAGCCACTCCTTGGAAGGAAGGTTGGGCAATCTACTTCCATAGTGATACCGCCTTGGAAACCCAAGGAGGGGTCGCTATGAGTCAGGTCCAACTTGACGGCACACAGCAACAACCACCACCAAAAATAAAATTAAAAAGAAAGCAAGAAAGTGCCCCATGAGAGGGGCAGGCAGGCAGCTCCAGGAGTTGCGAGTGGAAGGAAGTGGCACCCTTCTCATGCCTTCTCAGGTGGCAGAGCTTGGAACACCGGGGGACTGGTTCACGGAGTGGCTCAGACCAGAGGACGAGAGAAGGAGGAGACCAGAGGAAGAGACAAGGCTAGGGGGAGAGAGAGGTTCAGGCCACGTCCTAGAACCAAACCAGGAGCTTCCTGGAGGACTTCCTGGAGGACTCACTGTCAGCCACATGGGAAGTGCCACCACTCTGGGCAAGATGGCGCTAGACACAAACCAAGTTACTGAGATGCACCTTATGCTCTCTACACTGGCCGGGCTGTGGCCCTAATGTATCCACAGACCAAAGGAGAATCTGCTGCCAATTTGGGTTCACATAAATGAAACTGCCCCACAGCTCGCCACCAAGGCCAAATTCAGTTAATCAGATGCAAATTATTTTAAAAAATGCTGGGCGGGGTACATTCTCCAACTCCTTTTACTTGAAATGGGCAGAGTACTATTAATCAAGTTGTTTGTCATGTAAATGGAAACATAACTATCAGTAAGAAGGAGCTTTAAAAGTTTATGTCATGAGAACTTGTCTGAAACTTCTCATAGTGTTCCCCCGAAAGAGCTGGTGAAGCCTCACACAGAAGAGTGAATTGAAATATCCCGTAAGGACCTGCAATCTGGCATCGGATAAAAGAGCCCTGGTGGAGCAGTGGCCAGGCGCTCGGCTGTTAACCAAAAGGTCAGCAGTTTGAACCCACCAGCTGCTCTGTGGGAGAAAAATGAGGCAGTTGGCTTTCTTACAGATGACAGCCTTGGAAACCCTCTGGGACAGTTCTCCTCTGCCCTCTAGGGGCGCTGTGAGTTGGAATCGACTCCACAGCAGTGGTGGTGGTGGCGTTGGCTGGGATGAACCAGCGTTTCCACTAAGACTTTTATGGAAGGGGATGCTGATGCTTGGGCGTGTGCAGGGTGATTATGGTAACGTGTCTGCCCCGGGAGCCTGTGGTGGGCACCCTGGCTGCAGTGACCAGTGGCCGTCCAGATGAGTAGGGTGAGTGGCTGCTTAAGTCTGGGTAATGAACAATTCCCTCTTTCCTCTAAAGGTGTGCTTACCATGAAGACGGATTTGACCTCGAACCACCGTAAAATCCCTGGCAGTTTATACGCGGTCATGTATATGGTTCTCTCGATCCACATATTCTGCAAAGGGGACAGAGGCAGCATGGTTAGCAGAAGGATGATCACGGGGCGACAGGTTCAGTCCCAACGAAGACTTCTGCTGCAGCAAGGACCTGGCCATCCGCTCCTGCAGATTACAGCCTAAGAAAGCTCCAAAGCAGTGCTGCTCTGTCCTGGAGGGTTGCCAAGGTCGGAACCGCCTTATCGGCAGCGGGTTTAGCGATTCTTTATACAGTAGTATGCTACATAGTGCAAAACAATGCTTCAGGCCAACAGCTGTAACTCGGCACCTCTTTACAGGCTGCACAGACCCCAGCACAGTGGACCCTTCATCCCATCTCTTCTGTAGATGTCTGGTTTGCGGCAACCTTCTGGCATCTGGACCCCCCTCCCCATGATGTCAGTGTGCACTCTGAGGTGGTGACAGTAACTTAGGCATAAACAGAAGGGATCCGAATGTCTAAAGGAGACTCAATGGCACAGCAGTTAAGCACTCAGCTGCTGACAGAAAGGTTGGCAGTTCAAACCCACCCAGCATCTTTTCAGAGAAAGACCCCGCAGCCCGCTCCTGCAAGGACTCCAGCCAAGAAAACCCATGGGGGGTTCAGCTCAGTCCCTGAGGCCGCTGTGACTCAGAATCGACTCCATGGCAACAAACAAGCAGAAGGTCTACGCTGGAAAGAGCTTCCTCCCAGATCCGCCACATGCCACAGGAGGGAAGGGGAAGCACCTGGCCCAGGTCTTGGGACACAGGTTACAGCTTCCCATCTCCAGGCAACACTCCTTTGCCCCACTTGACTGCTAACCAGAAGGCTGGCGGTTCAAACCCACCAGCCACTCCTCGGAAGGAAGGTTGGGCAATCCTACTTCCGTAGTGATACTGCCTCGGATACTCAAGGAGGGGTTGCTATGAGTCGGGGCCGACTCGACGGCACATAACAACAACAACAATGGGGACAGCACCCTCCAGTGGGCACTACAGAATCTGAAGCAGGTTTGGTGGCTTTCAGCCTCACCTGCCGGTGACACGTGTAGTCTCCCCTCCATCCACACACCCTGGGAGGTGCAGCTCTGCTCTTCAGACGCTTCCTCTACTTCTCCTCCCCTGCAAGCTCTTGGCTTGAAGAGTTACTTCCTCCCTTGCAGGGTTTTGGGGTGCCCCACCCCTGGCCTGTGGGGGCAGGCCTATCAGGCCCTGCCTGTGATACCAGGCTCTCTGCAGAGAGGCTGGAGCCCCGCAGCCCACTACTGCGGGGTAAGATTCCCAGCTACTTAGCCAGAAGCCTGTGGCTTTGTCAAGCGTGTGAAGGCCTAAATCCGGTGGCATTTGAAAGCCTTATCCCTGTGTGAGGACCTAATGGGGCCATGAAGGGATTTGGGGCCATTTAGAAGTGATGCGGCTCCCACGGCTCACATGTCAGGAGTCCCGGCTATTCTTAGCTCTGTCCCCATTCGGCTGTGCACCCTCCAGCAACGCACTTGACCCCTTTGTGTCTGTTTCTTTACAATGTAAGAACATCCGTATTTGCCAGATGCCAGCGGTGAGGGAAATGCGGGAACTGCTTACAGACCTCTCCCGCGAGACACATACATTAATGAGTCCCAAGTGTGGGCCACACAGATAGGCAGTACCCTTCGTGCTGGCATCCAGGTGGGCAGGGACCTAGGCTCTTCTCACTGCCCTGCTGTCACAGACCACACTGCAGTGACCAGAGGAGTCCAGGCACCAGCATAACCTCAACACAGGGTCTTCTGGAAATAACCAGTGTGTAAGAATAGAGAGGCATCCCCAGCTGGTACCAGTGGTTAACATGCTCAGCTACTAAGCAAAGGCTGCAGGTCTGAGTTTGCCCAAAGGCACCTTGGCAGAAAGACCTGGTGGTCCACTTCCAAAAAGTCAGAATGGCAAACCCTGTCAGCACTGTCCTAGTCTGGCACACAGGGACTCCAAGAGTTGGGTGGGAACTGGAGAGGTGTTAGAATCCGTTGACCCAAACTCTGAGTTGCTGCCCAAGGAACTGGGTGCAGGGCAGGGTGGGCATTTCCAGGCGCTGCTTCCCAGGACTGCCAGGGGACTCAAGTCACTCACCAGGATCAGGGAGTGCTGGAAGTCAGAGGGCTCTGCAGGGTGGGGGGGCGGCATGCTCGACTGAGACAACCCCCCTGGAGTCTGTCCACGGGTGCTGATTCACATTTACTCCTGCACACAGACACTGCCACCCTGCAGGCCAGAGGCAGCCTCTCCCTCAGTGTTGGCCCTCCTTGGGGTCCCTGGGTTAAAGACCTCCCACGGGGCGTTGGCCTGCACGGGGCACCCACCTGCGTGGGGCATTGGCGAGGAGGTGTTCAGGGCAGGAAGAGGGGAAGCATCACTTCTTAAGGCCTGTGCTTCACCTGATGCCTACAGAGATGGACGCCACTCAGCTGGTGGGTGTTTATTTAAAGCAGCTGCAAACCAAAAAACCAAACCAAACTCACTGCCGTAGGTCGGATCCGACTCCTAGTGACCCCTCCTTGGGTTTCCAAGGCAGTCACTGTGGAAGTAGATTGTGCAATCAAAAACCTGTTAATCCCATCACAACAACACAATGGGTTTTAGTGGGGAACATGTGGCAGAGTCTGGCAGTATTTTTGGTGTCACATGGGGGTGCTACTGGCATGTAGCAGGAGGGAGCCGGGGTGCTGCTCAACATCCTACAGTGCACAGAAGACCCCCGCCCCCCAACAAAGAACTCGCAGTGCAGAGAAGTCAACAGTAGAGGTGGGGAGCCCTGCTCAAGGGCGTGGAGCTACAGGAAGTGCAGGCACCAGGCCTTGGAGGGTGACACAGGGACTCAGGGCCCTGGCCCTGTTCACCTCCAGCCTGCCATGTCACCTGCAGAAAGCCACGTGATGGCTCTGCACATGGTACCAGAGGTAACCATGTCTACAGCCGCACCAGGGGTCACAGGACAGCCACACACAGGAGGGAAGGGAGGTGCCACCAGCATGAGTCACCTTGTGACTTCCTTAGTGATAGACCAGGTGAGATGTTAAGAGTTTACTGAATTAGAACAAGCAAGACATTTGGATCTCCAACAGAAATACCCCCCCAAAAAAAAGGTAGATACCAATCTATCTGTTAGTATCAATGTTGTTGTTACGTTCCGTCGAGTCAGACCTGACTCATAGCGACCCCTCCTTGGGTTTCCGAGGCAGTATCACTACGAAGGTAGGATTGCCCAACCTTCCTTCCAAGGAGTGGCTGGTGGGTTTGAACCACCAGCCTTCTGGTGAGCAGTCAAGTACCTTAGGCACTATGCTACCAGAGCTCCTCAATAGATACCAAACAAACAAACAAACAAACAAACAAATAAACTCACTGCCATTGAGTTGATTCCAACTCATAGCTACCCACATTGGGTTTCCAAGGCTGTAGATCTTTATGTAAGTAGATTGCCCATCCCATCTTCCGCAGAGCGGCTGGTGAGATTGAACTGCTGACCTTCTGGTTAGTAGCCAAAAGCCTTATCCACTATGCCACCAGAGGTCATTTCAATGTCAATAGATAAAGACACTGAATTTTGTGATGATGTCTGGGCTCCCACTTCCCCACAGGCAGTTTTGTTGTTGGCAGCATGGTTCACGGGCTGCTTATTCACTTACCGCAAATTCATTGTCTGGGTTCTTTTCTCCTTTCCGGACTGGCCGAGAATATTCAAATCGCTGCACTTCGTTCACCCGGTAAAAACTGTACAGAAACAGACAAAACCTTAGCAACCAAGCCAGCAGAGCAGCTGGTTTGGGAGGTGGGCTGGTGGACGTGGGGGCCTGGCCTCAGGAGAGGTCATCACAAGCCATACAATGTCCTCAGACTTGATCAGAGGTGACAGTTGTGGCCTCTTCTGTCCACCAACCTTGGAAGAGAGATGTTGGCGGGTGGAAAAATTAACTTGAGTTTTTGCCTCTGCCTGGTCCCTGCCAAGCCTCAAGGGAGAAGAGTCACTGAGTAAGAGAGAAACGAGTGAAAACAGAAAAGGTGAAGTGAAGGAGAGAGGGAGAGAGGCTTTCAGTCTCATGTCATGTTTGTCGCTGGACTCCTCTTTAAGGTCTTAACAGTTTCAGATTCGCAGGGGAGGACACAGCAGGGGTGGTTTGGAGATTCTGCATCTTCACTGAGATGCAGGTGGGCTCCTCTACCAACAGGAAGCATCTGACTACGTTCTCAGTGAGAAAAAGCGTGGCAGACTTCAAGTGTTCAATGTGCAGAGGCAATCGCTTACAGATTAAGAGATTCCTGGTCTACCTTCCGTCACGGTGCCAAGAGGTTACCTCCAAACTTCAGAACACAAAATAAGCAGATCCTGAGGAACATTAAATATGCCCTAGTGGCACAGTGGTTAAAGTGCTCAGCTGTGAACCATATGGTTGGGGGTTTGAACCCACCAGCTACCCAGTGGGCAAAAGATGAGGTGGTCTGCTTTTGTAAAGATTTACAGCCTTGGAAATCCTGGGGGCAGTTCTGCTCTTACAGGGCCGTGATGAGTTGAATCAACTTGACAGTGCTGGGTTTGGTTGGGCTGTGGAACATCAGGCCACCAGAGAGGTTAATTTTTTCAGTAGCATGTAGATGAAATAGAAAATTCTCCACATCAAGGAAACATTGCCTGGGGCAGCATGTTACACCATTGCTAAGTCAGGGGCAATTAAATGAAAAGGTACAAAATCTCACTCAGGTTCAGACAGTTGGCTTGTGAGTTTCAAAAACCACCTCATAATCCCATATTATGGCATCACCTTGTTATGAAGGCAGGGGGTTCTTTTTCAGAAGCAAATTTCAAATTCCCTTGAAATCTTGTGTCGTTGAGTCAATTCCAACACAGTGACCAGACAGGACAGAGTCGAACTGCCCATAGGGTTTCCAAGGCTGTAATGTTTATGGAAGCAGGCTTCCTCATCTCTCTCCCTTGGATTGGCTGGTGGGTTTGAACTGCCAACATTTTGCTTCATCCTTGAGCGCATAACCACCGTAGCATCGGAGCTCTTCAACATCCCCTTCACGGCACTTATAAAAAGGGATGTGCAGGCTACACCCCAGAGGTTCTGCTGCACAGTTGCTGGGTGTAGGGCTGGAATAGCACACCACCGAGAAGTTCTCCAGCGGGATCTCAAGTACCTGGGGTGGCAAATGGCTAATGCACTCAGTGGCTAATCAAAAGGCTGGAGGTTTGAGTCCACTCAGAGGGGCTTCAGAAGAAAGTACTTCCAAAATTTACTTCTAAAACACCAACCCCTGAAAGCCTGAAAAAGCACAGCTCCCCTCTGACATTCACAGGGCGCCACGAGTCACGTCAACTTGAAGGCAGCTGGGTGGTGGGATTCCACGTCACCCGGAGGGCCTCCTCCTCCTTCCTGAGTTCTCACTGGCCAGTGGCCTCAGGACAGGAGTACCCCACGCCCCTCCGGTGAGCGTGTCAACTTCTTCCTCCACCTCTTTGATACTGGAACTCGTTTGCTTCCCTTATTCATCAAAGAGGATGGAAAGAACATGTAAAGCTAACAAAAGGCTAACATCCATCCTGTACAAGTGAAAAGATTACCACGAGATGGTATGTAGCCTTCACTCATCCTCTTATAAGAAAAATGGGATGTTTACCTGACAATTTGCTCCGAAACTGGCCTGTGAAATTTAGGGGGCAAGTCAAGTTTGGGTTTTACTGTGAAGCACTGGATGTCTGAAGAAGAAAGGTGGTTAAGGAATGATAAGACTGAGAGGACATCAACCCCAAAGGATACCCAGTCATCTACCAGCATTGTGCCTCAACCACCCCGCAGTCAATGAGAGTCTTCAAGGATACACTGGCCAGCAGAATTTTTAATGTCGTCGCCTGGTGGAGACGTTGTCTTCATTTTCTCAGCATTGGGAAACTGAGTTAACAGCCGTGCTTCGAAATCTTCCCGGCGTTCGTACTCTTTCCCTCGGTAAATGAAAACTTTGCCCTGGCAACAACAGCATCGTTAAAGAGCTCTGCTGGGGGAGGGTCAGGAAAAGCTCACTGCACACACACTGGTCTCCAAAATATATGTATACATTTAAATGTCATTTAATTTGAGAACAACTTGTAATTGCTTTGTTCTCATTAATCAAGGACACATGAACATAAGCCAAAAGTAATGCAACTTCAGAAGCTCTAAACACATTATCACTGAAGGCTGTGATGTTAGTCTTAACATGACAACCAATTAACAATCTAGGAAGAACCGAGAGCGACTGGAGCCCATGCAAGAGTGGGCACAGGATGGCCGGAAAGGGCAAGGAGCCAGGCAGGTGGACAATGGCATCTGTAGGCTTTCCCAGTTGGGCCCTAATTAAGTAGTTTTCATCCTGCCAAGAGGAATTTGGGAGAGCTTGGCACTCAGATGGAGTCTTGGAGATGAGCTGTCTCCTGGGAGACACACCTGGGAGGTGAGTAGAACTGCGGAGAAGGGGTCCAGACATGTCAGGAAGGGAACAGGCCCTTGGCCTCCCTTGATGAGGAAGGATGGAGAAGGGAGACTCCCCTGGTGCTTGGCTTCAGTGCACAGATAATTACTTATCAGTAAATGACTAAGACGGGGCGATCTACTGCCATAGTGATACCGCCTCGGCAACCCAAGGAGGGGTCGCTATGAGTCAGGGCCGACTCGACGGCGAATAACAACAACAACAACAACAACATAAATGAAGGAAGGTTGGGCAATCTACTTCCCTAGTGATACTGCCTCGGAAACCCAAGGAGGGGTCGCTATGAGTCGGGGCCGACTCGACGGCACATAACAACAACAACAACATCATAAATGAAGGAAGGTT